AAAAATTGAGATCCCAGATTGTGGATCGTGTTGGCAGTTCCCAGGGTCAAAGGGGGAGATTGGAGATGGGGAACCCAGATTGTAGATCCTCGGGCCGGGCATCCCCCCCCGGGGGGGGGATTGGAAATCGAGATTGGAGATTGGAAATTCCACCTGGGGGCGGCAGGGGTCAAATGGGAGATTGGAGATTGGAAATCGGAAATTTGCGGGGGGAAAGAATCCAAAGGGCATTTCCTTGAAGGTTGGGGCCCCCCCCCCCCCCCCCCCTCCCCGACCCCCGAATCGAGATTGGAGATTGGAGATTGGAGATGGAGATCGGAGATCTGACTGGATCCGGCAAAATATGACGTTGGAGATTGGAGATTGGAGATGGAGATCGGAGATCTGACTGGATCCGGCAAAATATGACGCTGGAGATTGGAGATTGGAGATGGAGATCGGAGATGATTTTTTATTTTTTATTTTTTATTTTTGGCCCGAAGAGCCTGCGGCGCCGGTTTTAACCTCTCCGGCCGACTCGCTGCGCGATTCTCGCTACGGCCCGCGGCGGGGCCGCACCCAGCAAGCTGGGGCCGCTCCTCACGGACTCGGCGCTGACGCGCCTCAAGAAGACCACTACTCGGGCTTGGCTGCGCCGCCCTCGGAGATGTGTCGACGCAAGATTGGAGATGACGCCGCTGTCATCATCGTTTTCTTTTTTGATAATAAAAAGCTCACTCACCCATGGTTCCCCCACGTGAGGCGGACCAGGACCTCCGTCTCGATGATAGTGTCGCGCGAAAGCTGCACAAATCGGTTGTCCCGCTGCATCGCGCCCGGGTAAGCCAGCTGCTCGCCCCGCTGCAGGATCGTACCCCCTTCGGCGTATGACATGTTGTGTTTGGCATTGCAGCGCGGGCACCACTTGCAGTAGAGCACGCTCTCGCGAACGCCGCCTCTGCCGTCGAGGTAGACGGTGGGGCGAGGGAATGCATGCCCGAGGCTGCTTTTGACGACGAGAGGAACCTGCTCTCCATTGAGCGCGCAGACGGCGCAGTGGGTGATGCTCGGAACGAGATGTAGAGGGCCCTCCTTGGTGTGCGCGAGATGCTTGTACAAGCCGCCAAGGCCACCCTCCGTGTCGAGCCGTCCAATCAGCACGCCGACGTCAGAGGAGCAGAGTGCCGACCCGGCGGGCAGCCGCTCATGGACGCGACGGGCACGCTCAGGCACGCCAGGTGGGAAGTGGTGGATGCCGCTCAGGAGCGCCACGAGCTCCTCCTCGGTCTTCAGAGGATACAGGTTCGCGGCGAACTCGGTCATGCCAGAGACTAACGAGGTGAGCTCCATCGCGGCGCGCTCATATAACAAGGAGGCGCGTTCTCCGATCTTCATCTCCGATCTCCAATCTCCAATCTCGACTTGTGGGGGAGGCGTGTCAGGGGGGGGATCGACGTCCTTCCAAGGGGATGCTCTTTTCCTTTCACACCTTCAAGCGGATCTCCACCCTCTTTTCGCGCCATTTTGCAATCTCCAGTCGGCGCACACGATCTCTAGGCGCTTTTTCAACATCTCCGTCTCCGGCCAGAGATCTCGAGGTGCCGATGTCGGCTGCTCAAGATCTCTATCTTCAGTTAAAGATCTCTGAGTTTTGTGAGAGATGCTGTGTGTGGAAGATCTCTGATCGGCATCTACGATCTCCACTCAACAAATCTACTGGTGTCCCGCAGAGATCTTGATGTATGCATAAAACACAAATCATCCCAACTACACACTTCATCGTTCCGGGCACGCGCGGCCTCTGCTCTCCGCTCTCGACAGACTCACAGAGAGACCAACGCAATACTGAAATCGAACCGTCACTGCTTGCAGCAAGTGCGGGCCACAACGTCGAGCATGCGCGCGTCGGCGGTCCCGTTGCGGAACGTGGCGTCGGTGGCGCGGTGGCTCGCCACCACGGCGGAGCACGACGCGCCAGACGGGTCCGCCTTGAGGAGCTCCATGAAGCGCTTGTGCCCGACAAAGTTGCCGTGCTGTTGCCGTGCAGCAGCCGGCACGGCGAGCCGCAGGCGTGCCACCGCCAGAAGCGGGGCCAGCCCGCCATGTGCGTCGGTGCCGATTTGCTGGTTCTAGCTTAGGGCAGGTCGCGGAAGAAGGCGCGGAAGCCTACCGCAGGGCCCCGAGAAGGTCCGGGGAGGGGTTGCCGGTCGCACGGCCCTTTCGCGGGACGGGGGGGGCGGGGACCGGTCGAGTTGACGCTCATCCACGAGTAGAGCGTCTGGTCGCCGAGCCAGCCGATGCCGCCCTCCTTCATCGGAGGCGCGCCCGGCCTGCCGAAGCCTCCCGCCGCGTACCGCTCGATGGCGGCGGCGTACGCTGCGGAGGACCGCATCGCGTCGAGCCGCAGGAGCCTACGTGTTGAATACGCCAACTTGAGGGCACGAATACGGTATTGTGCAGCGTATTCAGAGCACCGCGTGAATACAACAGAGAAGAATACAGTGAATACAGCGGAATACGGGTGAATACGGCTGAATACGTGTCCTCTCGAGTGCTGGTTGGGATACATGAATACGTATTCCGCTTCTAGGCGCAGGAGCTGCACGCCGCCGTTGTAGCCGACGCCGCCGAGGGCGCGCACCTCCCTGCTCCTACAGGGGAGGGCTCCGAGACGGCTCCGAGACGGCTCCGAGACGGCTCGGGCGCCTCCTTGCCCCGAGGGGGCCTGAGGGGGCGCCGCTCCTGCGCGAGGCCGAGCAGCTCGCCTGGGAGGGCGGGAGGGGCGGGGAGGGCGGGGAGGGTGGGGAGGTGTGTATCGCGCGCCTTGCGGGGGGGGGGCGCGGAAAGGAGGAACCTCTTAGGCCATCGCCATGGCGCTGCAAGCAGCGCCGGGCAACGACGACTTACCGCCTCCCGGTCCCCCTCGGCACACCTCCGCCATCGCCGCAACTGGGCGGCTGGTGGCGGAGCAGGCGACGTTTGTTCACCAGCCGCCCTCGCGCCCCGCGCCCCAGGCTGAGCCCGTGGGCGCCACGGCGGCGGTCGGTAGGCGAGGGGGGCGAGGGGGGCGTGGACGTGGCGGGCGGGGTGGGCGGGGCGCGGGGCGCGGCGGCTCTGCTTAGTTCTGGAGCACCGGTGCATGATGGCCACGAACTGCTGGGGGGTGCCCACCACATGCTAGGGGGGGGGGGTTCCGCCCCGA